GCGTGGATTAAGTGATTTCTGTCAATTTATTTGCTAAATGTTAGTTTCAAACTTTTTTATTGAATGGATTAAAACAGGCTAACAATGATAGCACACATTGTGGTTAATCCAACTCAGACGACTTCCATGCCTGGTTAACACATCCTTGAGGGGTGGTCGTCCTTCATGAAATGATTTGATACGTCTCCAACGTATCTATAATTTTTTATTGTTCCATACTATTATATTATATGTTTTGGATGTTTAATGGGCTTTAATATGCTCTTTTATATTATTTTTGGGACTAACATATTAACCGAAGGCCCAGTGCCAGTTTCTGTTTTTTGCCTATTTAGAGTTTTGCAGAAAAGGAATACCAAACGGAGTCCAAACGGAATGAAACCTTTGCGATGATCTTTCTTGGACCGAAAGCAAACCAGAAGACTTGGAGTTGAAGTCAGAGACGCAACGAGGCGCCCACGAGGCAGGAGGGCACGCCCCCCACCCTCGTGAGCCCCTCGTAGCTCCACCGACCTAGTTCTTTCGCCTATATATACTCTTGTGCCCTAAAAACATCGGGGGGAGCCACGAAACCACTTTTCCACCGCCGCAACCTTCTGTACCCGTGAGATCCCATCTTGGGGCCTTTTTTGGCGATCTGCCGGAGGGGGATTCAAACACGGAGGGCTTATACATCAACACCATTGCCTCTCCGATGAAGCGTGAGTAACAGACCTTCGGGTCCATAGTTATTAGCTAGATGGCTTCTTCTCTCTCTTTGATTCTCAATACAAAGTTTTCCTCGATGTTCTTGGAGATCTATTCGATGTAATATTCTTTTGCGGTGTGTTTGCCGAGATCCGATGAATTGTGGATTTATGATCAAGATTATCTATGAATATTATTTGGTTCTTCTCTGAATTCTTATATGCATGATTTGATATCTTTGCAAGTCTCTTCGAATTATCGGTTTAGTTTGGCCCACTAGATTGATCTTTCTTGCCATGGGAGAAGTGCTTAGCTTTGGGTTCAATCTTGCTTGTGTCCTTTCCCAGTGACAGTAGGGGCAACAAGGCACGTATTGTATTGTTTCCATCGAGGATAAAAAGATGGGGTTTATATCATATTGCTTGAGTTTATCCCTCTACATCATGTCATCTTGCTTAATGTGTTACTCCGTTCTTTATGAACTTAATACTCTAGATGCATGCTGGATAGCGGTCGATGTGTGGAGTAATAGTAGTAGATGCAGGCATGAGTCGATCTACTTGATACAGACGTGATGCCTATGTTCATGATCATTGACTTAGATGTCATCATAATTATGCGCTTTTCTATCAATTGCTCGGTAGTAATTTGCTCATCCACCGTAATACATGCTATCTCGAGAGAAGCCACTAGTGAAACATATGGCCCCCGGGTCTCTTTTTCATCATATTGCATCTCTTTTCCATGTTATTGAATCTCTTTTACATCTTGCTAGTTTCCAATCTACTATTTTGCAATCTTTACTTTTCAATCTATACAACAAAAATACCAAAAATATTTACTTTATTATCTCTATCAGATCTCACTTTTGTGAGTGACCGTGAAGGGATTGATGATACGTCTCCAACGTATCTACTTTTCCAAACACTTTTGCCCTTGTTTTGGACTCTAACTTGCATGATTTGAATGAAACTAACTCGGACTGACGCTGTTTTCAGCAGAACTGCCATGATGTTGTTTTATGTGTAGAAAACAAAAGTTCTCGGAATGACCTGAGAATCCACGGAGACAAGTTTTGGAAAATATAAAAAATACTGGCGAAAGAATCAAGACCAGGGGGCCCACACCCTGTCCACGAGGGTGGGGGGCGCGCCCACCCCCCTAGGCGCACCCCCCTTCCTCGTGGCCCCCCTGAGGCTCCACCGACCTCAACTCCAACTCCATATATTTCGTTTCGCAAAGAAAAAAAATGAGAGAGAAAGTTTCATCGCGTTTACGATATGGAGCCGCCGCCAAGCCCTAATCTCTCTCGGGAGGGCTGATCTGGAGTTCGTTCAGGGCTCCGGAGAGGGGGATTCGTCGCCGTCGTCATCATCAACCATCCTCCATCACCAATTTCATGATGCTCACCGCCGTGCGTGAGTAATTCATCGTAGGCTTGCTGGACGGTGATGGGTTGGATGAGATTTACCATGTAATCAAGTTAGTTTTGTTAGGGTTTGATCCCTAGTATCCACTATGTTCTGAGATTGATGTTGCTATGACTTTGCTATGCTTAATGCTTGTCACTAGGGCCTGAGTGCCATGATTTCAGATCTGAACCTATTATGTTTTCATGAATATATGTGTGTTCTTGATCCTATCTTGCAAGTCTATAGTCACCTATTATGTGTTATGATCCGACAACCCCGAAGTGACAATAATCGGGATACTTCTCGGTGATGCCATAGTTTGACGAGTTCATGTATTCACTATGTGCTAATGCTTTGTTCCGGTTCTCTATTAAAAGGAGGCCTTAATATCCCTTAGTTTCCGCTAGGACCCCGCTGCCACGGGAGGGTAGGACAGAAGATGTCATGCAAGTTCTTTTCCATAAGCACGTATGACTATATTCGGAATACATGCCTACATTATATTGATGAATTGGAGCTAGTTCTGTGTCACCCTATGTTATAGCTATTACATGAGGAATCGCATCCGACATAATTATCCATCACTGATCCAATGCCTACGAGCTTTTCACATATTGTGCTTCGCTTATTTACTTTTCCGTTGCTACTGCTACAATTAGTACAAAACTATTATCTTTACTTTTGCCACTGTTACCTTTAGTATCATACTACTCCCTCCGTTCCGAAATAATTGTCTTTCTAGATATTTCAACAAGTGACTACATACGGAGCAAAATGAGTGAATCTACACTCTAAAACATGTCTACATACATCCGTATGTTGTAGTCCATTTGAGATGGCTAGAAAGACAATTATTTCGAAACGGAGGGAGTACTTTGCTACTAAATACTTTGCTGCAGATACTAAGTTATCCAGGTGTGGTTGAATTGACAACTCAACTGCTAATACTTAGGAATATTCTTTGGCTCCCCTTGTGTCGAATCAATAAATTTGGGTTGAATACTCTACCCTCGAAAGTTGTTGCGATCCCCTACACTTTTGGGTTATCAATTGACAACCCCTTTTATCGCGTTGGTTGCAAGTTCTTGATTGTTTGTGCAGGTATTCGGTGACTTGTGCGTCATCTCCCACTGGAGTGATACCTTGGTTCTCAAAACTGAGGAAAATACTTACGCTACTTTGCTGCATCACCCTTTCCTCTTAAAGGAAAAAACCAACGCAAGCTCAAGAGGTAGCATGATTCATGAGTTGCACTCTAAGAACCTTTAGGAGATTCATTTTAAAGGGGATTTGCGAGGATAAAGTCATTTAGGGTGGTACTGTCGGGGTGAAAACCAATGACGACGTATCGATCACTATTTTTCAAAACCGGGAAGGGGTTGCAGCCAGGGGATCTTATGTCGCCAATCCTATTCAACATTGTTGTTGATCTGTTGGTGGCCATCCAGGAGATCTATTCACGGGCAGGGGCATCATTCTCTAGTAAGCGGGTGATACCATCATTTTTATGGAGCACGACGTGAACAAGACAAATAATATGAAAGAGATCATTGGCCTTTTCGAGCAAGTGTCCGGACTTATGATATTTTTCCACAAAAGTAAATTATTCTGCTTTGAGCGCGTCAAAGAGGAAGAGCATCATTCTAAACAACTTTGGCTATGAGATCAGTAAGCTCCTGTTAGCTATGTTGGGATATCAACTCATTTTCGAAGGCTTACAAATAAAGAGTGGAAATGCCTTAAAAACAAGTTTAAAAAAAGTTCAGTCGTTGGAAGAGAAAACTGATGTAATATGGTGGACGATTTGGTCCTAGTGAATTATGTGCTCATAAGCTTAGCCATTGGAACGACGTCGGTAAGGTGGGTGTTGTTCATAGGTAGGAAAGAAAGAGAGGAGTAAATGAGGTAAAATAGTGTCTTAGGGGTGGGGTTTGGGTGAGGCCTGCATGTCCGGACTGATGCGGTGGACAATTCGGCCAATCCCATTTCTCATGTACAAGTGGTTTGGGTATAAGCGGCCACATATAGTTCAGACATCATCATTTATCCCTTATAGATTGGCTGGGTTTGGAGGTTCGTATACAATCTATATGTTTGAGCCATGTACAGGAAAATCCGTTAGATGTCCATTTTCTATTCAAACCATGTTTAGATTGTGTGGAAATGTCTAGACTGTTGAGATGGACAATTGGGGGAAGAGCAGACATGTCCTGCCCTCATCCCAAGTTCCTCCCGCCTAGTTTTCTTTATTTTTTTTAGGGCTAGTTGCTCCAGCATAAATAAAAGAGAATCTGTGATTCTGAAAAAAAAAGAGAATCTGTAACCACACAAATGGGCCTAGGTGTGAGAATTCCAAAGTATAGTTTCTTTCCTGCCCAGCATCAACACTGGCCCACAAAAAGCCCACGAGACGGTGCTAACTGGGCGGTCGGACTCCGGCGCAAAACCCCGCCGCAGAAAGGAGTCCTAAAACCCTAACTTTA